TTTGTAGAGACACAGTTTCATCATGTTGCACGGGCTGGTCTCAAACTCTTGGACTCAAGTGATCTTCCCGCTTTGGCCTCCCAAAGTGCCAGAATTACAGGCATAAGCCACAGCGCCTGGCTTGATTTTAGTGTACATTTTAATAAAAGTAACTGGAGGGAGAATTCCCCTCAAAAAAACAAAATTTTTTTTTTGAGACGGATGCTCGTTCTGTCACCAGGCTGAAGTGCAGTGGTGTAATCTTGGCTCACTGCAATCTCCGACTCCAGGTTCAAGGGATTCTCCTGCCTCAGTCTCCTGAGTAGTTGGGTTTACAGGCACATGCCACCACACCCAGCTAATTTAAAGCTCGACCCAGTAAATAAACTAAATTAACTTCCTGTACTGAGAATTGCCCCCAAAATATTTTTTAGGCAAGCTCGACCCAGTAAATAAGCTAAATTTACTTCCCGTACTATCTCTTATTAGTGCAACTATTTCAAATCTTTCTTGCATTTCTTCTGGATTATTTAATTAGCATCCTATTTTTCTTGCCTCTAGTCTCCATCCCAATACATACTTTGGGCACATGCTTCAACACTGCTATCAGTTTCTTTTTGCCATCAAAATCTGATCAAGCCATTTTGGTTAAATTCAATTCTCCCATCCCATCCCATCCCCTTTGGCATAAAATGCCCTCTGTATCTCCAGTCATGTCTTTAAAATCTATCCTGTCTCCTCATATTTCTGTCTTCTCATTCTCTCCTTGCTGCCCTGCCCCTTCCACTTCAATCTCCCAATACTGCAGCCAAAGTGTTTATAGTCTCAAAAACTTATCAAGTCATCTCTGAGACATTGCATGCTGATCCCTCTGCCGAGGAGCCTCCCTCACTATTGTTTTTCCAACTTTGCCTTGCTCCCTTTTTTCCATTTGTTTTAATACAACTCTCTTCCTCAGAGAGTTTTCCTGACTACCCCCAGCTAAGTTCAGTACATTAACAGTGCTCTCTGCACACTTTTATGTCACTGAACCCACTCTATGATGTCTGATATATACTGGTCTCCTAAAAGATTTTCCTACAATGATATCTGTCTTGTTATATAGGTGACATCTGTGTCTTTTGTTTATGTATCTTCAGTGCCTAGCACATAATAGTGGTTTGATATTTTTTAAATAAATAGAAAAATAGCAGTGATTCTAACAAAAGATCTCTACTACATTAACATTCTTTGTCCTAAGCCTGAAAGACTCCCACTTGCCTATTCAGACCTAAGCATCACTGACTGACAAACTGAATCGAAGTCTCTTTATCCTGCCTCATCCTACACCAACAGTGGTCTTACAAAGATTTTTTTTTTTTTTTAACCTGTGTTTGTAAGTAAACAAGCTTTTTGAAAGACAGAATGCACTGTTCTGGTCATTTCATATAAATGGAATCAAACAATATGTGGCCTTTTGCATCTGGCTTTCACTTGACAGAATGTTTTAAGGCTTCAAGATACATTTTGTAACATATATTAGTACTTTGTTCCTTCTTATTATAATAAGAGTATTCCACTATACAAATATAGCACATCTTCTTTATTCATTCATCAGCTGATCAACATTTGAGTTGTTTCTACTTTTTAGCTCTTATGAATAGCCCTACTCTGAACATTTGTGTGTAAGTTTTTGTGTAGAAAAATACTCTATTTTTATCTCAAAGATTTGTGCATGGTTCATTACATGCCAAAAGCCTTATTAATTTAAGGCCAAAATGATTTTCTTAGCATGAAATAAAGTACAGTTTCTTAAACCAAATTAATTTGACTTAATGAGATTCTGAATTGATTAGAAATTAATTTGACTTTTGTGCAAGCAATGTAAAGTAACATTTGGTTGACGTGGGCTCCAAAGTACTTGTTCCAGGCAGACTATGTAAATGAGCATTCTGAATATAAAAACTGGACCATAACATTTATAATTTAATTAAACTAATAAAATGGTATACACTGTACTAGAGCCAGTGTCTTTGGAAAGTTATAATATTCTGTAACAAAGCTACGAAGATATACAAAAACATAGATACAATATTAACATAAGTATATATATAATGTATGTTAATTATGTTTATTCATCAGTACATTCTAAGTAACTCTTTACTCAAGTTATTATAATAATGTGGCCTCACTGATGAATTCACATAATATTAAGACCCTGGCAAACCACCATTATTCACATTCGTAGATTAAAATGCCCATTTACTAGTAATTTTTTCCGAGACAGGGTCTTGCTCGGTCACCCAGGCTTGAGTGTAATGTCACAATCACAGCTCACTGCAGCCTCTACCTCCCAGGCTCAGACAATCCTCCCACCTCAGCCTCCCAAGTAGATGAGAACATAGGTTTGTACCACCATGCCTGGCTAATATTTTTTATTTTTGTAGAGATGGGGTCATCCTGTGTTGTCCAGGCTGGTCTCAAACTCCTGGGCTCAAGTCGTCATCCTTCCACGTTGGCCACCCAAAGTGCTAGGATTACAGGGTGATCCACCAGCCCAGCCTAATTTTTTTTTTAATCCTTTTTAGGACTTCAAAGTAATATTTATTAAGGGGTTACTTTTAAGCATATTGTCAACATTTTTGTACCTTTATTAATTTCTAAATGTAAATTTTTCTCTCAGTATTTACAGCCAGAATCTTTTTTCTTTTTAGCATATCTCCGATTACAATATAAAAAACACGATCATTTTCCTTTCTTGTTTCAAATGAGAACATTTCTACCATTGTAATTCAAGTAAAATCAGTATGTTTTAACTTTATTTGCAACTGTACGGTGGGCTCTCTGTAACAACAGGTGTATGAATAATGTTTAAAAATTTGACTTACGCTTGGCCTGCTTTATCCTAAGGCATCAAAATGCCTCTAGGTATGTGCCTTTTGATTTTAACCATGGCAAAATATGAGCAGAAATGTAAGTCCATTAATACAAATACAAACAAGTATAAGCAGAAAGCCTAATCAACTAAGGAATTTAGTGCCTAACACAAATGAATTTGTGATTACACAATCACTTGCCTTTATAAGCATGGATAATCTAGAACTCCATATATATTACGATTTTTTTGGGGGGAGGACAGGGTCTCACTCTGTCGCCCAGACTTGCGTGCAGTCGTCTGATCTTGGCTCACCACAATCTCCACCTCCCAGACTCCCAAACAGTTGGGATTACAGGGGCTGGCCACCATGGCCAGCCAATTTTTGTATTTTTAGTACAGATGGGGTTTCACCATGCTGGCCAGGCTGGTCTCAAACTCCTGACCTCAAATGATCCACCTGTCTGGGCCTCCCAAAGTGCTGGGATTACAGGCGTGAGCCACCGTGCCCGGCCACTATTATTACCATACATTGGTTTCACACTATGGCCAGTTAATGTCTGACTGGTTACTTTAGTAACTTAGATTTATACAGCATTGTAGGGTCTACAGTGTCCTTTCACATATATTATGACACTTAAACTACACAATCACCCTATGAGAAAGGACAGTTATTACTTACTTTGGCAGTGAAGAAACGGAGTCTGAAGATAACTAAACAGGCCAATAGCAAACAAATGAGAAGCAATTAGAAACCCGGGTTCCTCCCTCCACCTTCATGCCTAATCATCTGTGCTTCTATTATTTGGCTAGCTAGGAAAGAGAACATAGATTATTCAGGGAGGAGGGAGGGGTCAGAGGTGTTCATGAGGTGAGCCTCATGAGCAGTTAGGCCATGAGGTGAGAACTTCAGTGCTTTGCTACTCACCGGGTGGTTCAGACTAGCAAAATGTCTATCACCTGGGAGTTAGTTAGAAATGTAGGATCTCGGCTCAAGCCTGTAATCTCAGCACTTTGGGAAGCCGAGGCAGGTGGATCACGAGGTCAACAGATCGAGACCATCCTGGTCAACATGGTGAAACCCCGTCTCTACTAAAAATACAAAAAATTAGCTGGGCATGGTGGTGCGCGCCTGTAATCCCAGCTACTCGGGAGGCTGAGGGAGGAGAATTGCCTGAACCCAGAAGGTGGAGGTCACGGTGAGCCGAGATCGCGCCATTGCACTCCAGCCTGGGTAACAAGAGCGAAACCCTGTCTCAAAAAAAAAAAAAGAAATGTAGGATCTCTGCCCTACCAAATAAAAGTCGCATTTTCAACAAAGCCCCGGGTGGTTCCTATGGATACTAGTTTGAGAAGCACTGCTTCACTAATTGCTCTAGTGACACTACATGGTCACTTGAACAGTATATATTAGACCACTTATATTCATCATTGTTGATCTGTTTTTATTAGGTAAAACTTCCTGCAAGTTTTCAAATTAAGAGTATTGTTAAAATAAGTTTATTTTTTCCATGTAATTGAAAATCTCCACTTCAGTAACTGGGGTCATTAAGGAATGTTAGAAAACCTTAAGCTGGTCAGTGCTTACCCACCCAACATTAAGGTCTTTCTTTTGCCTAAAGAATACACTACAGAGTGTAACTGCCCTCTCCATACTTTAAATCTTTGACTAAAACAGGCCAATCCTATTTATGTAAACCCCACTTCCCAACTTGGATCTTTGAGGAAGTACCGTATGGTTTTTCTGACTCTAAACTCTGCCTAATTTTTTAATTAGTCTCGCCACTTTCTGGCTCAGTAACTGAAACACAGCAACAGAAGTTAAAGGTATTGAGAAGTTCAGCTTGTTTCCACTTCTACACTTGGTGGATGGTTGCGATTGATTACGGAGACCCGTGACCACCACTCTGCCCCTAACCCTCTCTGTCCCAGCCCCATCGACTCAGTTGAGCTTGACTCGGGCTGCTCTAACTCTGGGAACTGGCCTGTTGGGCCTGCTCTTCTCAGTGTTGCTCCTTTAGGGTCAGACAGGCACTGGACTTCAGCACGTGGGACCGCTGATGAGCCGCCAACCTGAGTCTATTTAAAACTACTGTTCCCATCTTGAGGGGAGCCTTCTCCCACAGCATAACAAGCCCAGGAGGGCAGGCAAGTAAATACTGCTCACCTGCTCCACCGGAAATCTCAAAATCCCGGCTCAACATCGACTCAAGTTATCTGGTAATTAATCCATGACACCTCCCACCGCACACTCCTGATTGGGCGCGTGAGAGAGGACTGTGTCGGCGCGCGCTCTTACAAGTCCGGGGAATTCCATTTCCTCTTCCAACCACCGGCTTAAACATTCAGGGGCGGTGCTTTCCTGGCCGTGGCCCGCCCCAGTTCGAGCCGGTGCCTCACTGCGTCTCGCGAGAATTTATGGATTTTGGGGGCGGGACCCCGAGAGGAAGAGCGCCCAAAACTGCTCTTAAGTCATTGCAGAGCTACTGCTTCGGTTAGCCAGCCACGAAGTTCTCGCGAGAGTCGTCGCCTCAATACCAAGTGAGGAAACTGGGGGACGCTGTGGGGAGGGGCGTGGGGCTTGGTCGCGCAGCGGCTGCTTGCTTTACCTTCCTCCCATGGTCTCCTTCCGGTTCTCGATGCTTCTCTGAGCCTAAGGGTTTCCGCCACTCGTTTACCCTCCCCCCAGCCCATGATCCGCCTCCCTCCCCCGCCCTCCTAGTCCAATCTCCGATCTGTTCAATAAGAAGGTGCTGTTCCGAGAAGGACAAGGAAAAGGCATTGGCACGTATTCACTTGGCCCCGGACGTGGGAAGCAAGCCGTCTGGCTTCAGCCTTACATCGGTCCTGTGCTCGCGACGGCGGCGTTGGCGGACTGATCCGCGGCGGTGAAGAGGCAGGAGAAGGGGGAGGGGCGGAGCGTGGCAGCTGGCAGTAGTTCCGTCAGAGCGGACATCTTGTGGCTGTGTCGTGCGCGTGAGCCCCGTAGGGCCGGGGAGGCACCAGCTGCCGCGCGGGGAGGAGGCCGAGGCCGCAGCTTGAGGGAGGCCCCGGCCCCTCTGTACGCGTGGGTGTGGACGGCTAGGGAAGGGAAGGAGGCCGGCCTAGTGGCCGGCCGGGTAAGAGGGGCAGTGCGGGCCCTGGGCGGCTTGAATAGCCAGCCTATTGGGTGCGGTGGGGTAGGGTGGGAAGGCTGGAGAAGCCGGGGCCTCTCCTGCTGGAAGAGGAGGGGGGAATGGGCGCGTCCACGCGCCCAAGCCGGAGCCTCAGGGTTAGCACGGGCGCGTGGTGGAGGTAGCTGGGCGGGCGCGCGCGGGAGCGCGCTGGAAGGCGGAGTGTACGGTGGCGTCAGAGACGACACAGAATAGCTCGCTGCGAGGACAGCAACACACATCAAACCTCTCTTCCTTTATTTCCTTCCCCCTGCCCGGCCGCACCTTTGGGCAGAAACCGAAAGCAGTCCGGCGTCCATCCTGAGTCTCTTGCTTCCCCCTCCCCCTTGCCTTTCTTTGCCGTAGTGACGCCGGTATAGCGCCGACTAGGCCCCAGCTCCTCCTCTGCTGGGCTCCGGACCCTGCCCCGCACCCACCCCTTTCTCCTACGCCTCTTCCTCTCCCACCCGAGTCTCTTCCTTTCGAGAGGCCGGGAAGTTAAACTTGTAGCCACCCCCTCCGCTCTTCCCGTCACCCTCGCCCCCACTTCGGGCAGAAAGCACTGCATAGAGGCTTTTGGTGGCTTTGCTACCCCACCCACCCCGGGTCGCGTCTGTCTTAGGGAGCTGGATTCATCAGGGGCTCTCCGAGGCCTGTGCGAGTGTTGATCTGCTCCGTTTTTGCAAAAGGCGCCTGTGTCTGGCAGAGCCGGTGTGAGACGAGACAATCCTGCCCCGCCGCCGGGATAATCAAGAGTTTTGTCCGGACCTTTGAGCACACACCGAGAGAGTGAGGAGCCAGACGACAAGCACACAGTATGGCGCTGAAACGGATTAATAAGGTAACCCGCGGGAACTGAAGGAAATGGGGTCGTGGGAGAAAAGGAAGGCTCGGGCCCAGAGGAAAGCGTGGGGGTGGGAAAGAAGCATAATTCCGAAAATATCTCTTGGATCTCTTCTTCCATGGTGGGGGATGGAGAACGCGGATATACTTCTTGAAATGAAGTTTAAAGCTAGGGAACGGAGAACACTTGTGGCAAGTGAGGTGTTAGTGAGTGTGCTTCATTGGAATCGGTGCAAATTAGGGGTGGAGGAGAGTGACTTAAAGCGCCTTTATTTATTTATATTATTGTTACTATTTTTTTGGTGCTTCAGTTCTTTTGGGGTCCGAAGTAAGGAGAGCCGCTTCAGCAGATGTCATGCAGCTTCCTATTCTTGAGAGCTCCCAAACTTGACTTAATGAGATCAAGGTTCTGTAGACTTTTTAGGGGAAAGAAAGAAAACCCGGACGAAAAATCTGGCGAGTCGCGAACTTGACTGAGGGTCGGGTAGAAGTCTCTTGTCTATTGAAGGATAGTGAATAAGTCTAGTGGAGAAACTCTTCGCGGACTCTGGGTAGGGTACACCTAGTAAGTATTTGGGAGGAGATGGAATGACACAGTGTTGTCACTTCCTATATTTTGTAGTTGCAGCTTTTCACCCGAAGCTATTTTTCCGAGGCACACCGGGAACTGATGTAAAAGCCTTCTGGAAGCTCCCTTTTTCTTTTGGCCGGCGGGGGGTGGATAAGGGGTGCGATGGCCATAAGGGAAAGCTAGGTGTACCTATTTTTGCCTCATCCCATTTTAATAACACCCTTGGGGAAGATTGTTTCGTTACTTGAAATGTGGTTAGTATATTGTCGATTTAAGTTAGAAGAAAACTAGGATTTTTCAGAGCTCTGGGAGTGAGTGGAACCTCCACCTCCGGTGGTTTCGTCTCATTTTCTAGCTCTAACTTCTATCCCGCATTTTAAGATGGCGGCTGCTTTAACTGGTTCAGGCTCTTTCCGGCATCTCTTGTCGTAATAATGTGAAATAATATGTTTTGTTAAATGTTAACTTTTATATCGGGTTGTGCACTGCTGTGAGACCCTCTACTTAAAACTTACCTAAATTCAAACTCTGGCTGTGTTTTCCTTTTTTGTGACTTGTGTTTGTGTGGTGTGTTAGGTTGTTGCTCAATCGAGGAGGGTGGAGTATTTACAGCTAACTTGAAAAAAATGTCATGGAATAAATTCAGCCTTACTAGAAAAATGGGGCGGGGGCTGCGGTGAGGGTTAGAAACTTTGGTTTTAATAGATTACTTTTTTAAAAAGAGTTCAGTGAGAGGAATGGCAAGAACTTGCCTTTACGAAAATAGACCTGATACTACTACATTTTCATTTATTTAATTATGACTGAAGTTTATTTGGCAAGATCGGTGTTTTGTGAAAGAGGAAGGTTTAAATCTTCACTCTTAATATTGATAAGAAATCTTGGATTTTGTTTTAGACCTTCATTGCATCGTCATTTTTGGGTTATGCGAAACACAAATTTAAATCTTTGTATTTGTGAAATGAAGGAAAAGAGGAAGAAGCATTTTAGGAGCTAAGGGTCAAAATAAAAGGGATTATTTTGAAATAATAACCTCTTTCTGTGACTACTTTAAAGGCCAGCAACATATTGGAGAAGCATAGTTGTATGATATAAGGGAGTTAACAAAAAGAACATAACATTCAGTACAAATAAAAGTCTTTTCTATCGGAATAAGTTTAGGCCACTAAGATCTGGAATAATTCCAGATGATAGCTTTTTTGTGCATGTGGAACAGAACAGGTAAAGGAAGGTCTCACTGATTTTTTTTCTTTTACAGGTCATACCCAGCTGCTGTGACACCACTTAAATGATTTAAGAGCTTTAGAGAGGCAATATAACAATGATTAAGACTGTGAATATTGGAGTAGAAATGCTCCAGTTAGAATTCTAGCTCTGAGCAAGTTTATGTGCCTCTATAAGAAGGGTATCTGTTATAGTATGAACAATAAATGGCTGTGTGCCTAATATGTACCAGGCACTGTTCTAGGCAATGGGGTGGCAGCAGTGAACAAAAGTATTTTAAGTTCCTAGATTTGTTTTGAGGTTTAAATGGATTAATGTGCAGATTTGAACAGGCCCTTGGCACATGACACTTATAATTATTACTGCTATTTTAATATCGCAGTTTATAATTCTTAACCATTTTTGTTTAAGAACTTTAACTTCTAGTTTAGTACTCTTAGTTATACCAGGTTGTCTCGTTGTAAATATTTTGAAGATTTATGTAATGTAGACACAATGTGATAACTTGGCAAATTGGAAGAACCAGTGTTTATGTGCACATTATTGATTCAACATACATAAACTTTGACATGTGCATGTGGTTTGGTTTTTCAGCTGTTAGTGTTAGAATCACATGAGGCAATCTTCAGACATTCCACATCAAACAATTTCGTGAGTGGACACCTCTGAAGGGGAATGCTCTTCAGTTTAAGCACCTCTTCTAGAAATACGGGGTCAAGTAGCCATTGATGTATAGTATCTATGTGTTATGTACATATTTTGAATTTATTCTTGTCTGAAGGTCCCACATTTCAAATATTAAGACATACCTGTATTCCTCATTAACGTTCTATTGAAATTATTGGAATACTTTTAACCTTTAGTCCATTTGATCTAGCCTTTGAATTTATACTTCAGCTTATGTTCTTAGCATAAGTTTTTTGACTAATAGACCAGTCAACTTTTTTTTTCCTGTATTCTGTATTTGAACAACCTGTAATATGGTCTTAAATAGGGCTTATTAAACATCAGGAGTTAAAAGTGGCACTCCAAGTTGATTAGTATTAAGGGCCATAGACAGTTTTACCACTCCTGTTAAACAGTGGCTACTACAATATATGTGTTTTGGGGGGCATTTGAATAGAAATTTCATGTGAACCAAGTCTAAAAGAATAGCTCATGTTCTCAGTGTTTGCAGTGTGTCAGAACTGTTTGAAACGCATATACTCTTTAATCTTATAACAAACCTAGGAAGCAGGTACAGTTGTCTCCATCTTGAAATTCAAAAACTAAGGCACAGAGAGGTTAACACGACCTGGGTTCGTGTTGTGACAGCTGGGATCAGAACCTAGGCAGCCTAGTCCAGAGTATGTGCTTGTTTACCACTACACTTTGATATCATACTTTACGTTTTTTTGTCATTCAGAACGTTTATTTTTGTATATAGTATTGCCTATTACTAACAGTAGATAAGACTTAATGCAGCCTCTATGTACTACACACTGTTTCCCATTAGTAGTAGTAACTTATTTAATCCAGGACAACCATGTGGGATAGATGCTAGAATTTTAAAAATAACATAACAGGCCCAGAGAAATAGTTACTTGCCTAGTCACACAACTAGTTAAAGTGATGGAGATTCAAATCAGATAGTGAGGCACCAAAAGCTCAAGCTCTTTTTTGAACCATTTCAATTCCTATTTTATAATAAATGTGGTTTTAGTTTGTTACCTGAAATAAGCTGCTTTGCTCTCTCACTTCCACATCTAAGTAACTGGAATTTAGCTTTACTCTTAGGTAATAGCTAATTTGTGAATTAAGATTTTAGCTAATTATCTTTTGAGAGTAGAAGTGGATTTCATTCTTTTTGGGATAGTCTCTTCAAGCACTGAAAATTAATGTGCCAGTTAACTGCTTAGGATATCTTAGGGTGAACAAGATATACTTCTTGTTCCCGACTACCATATAAGCTGGGTAAATTGTCTTGCATGTGTTTCATATATGGTCCTCAAGGCTTGTCTATAGCCAGCTAACTTCCTGTGTATGACAGTTGTGGCTAAAGGATGATGGTCATATGACTTCAATATGTATTTAATTTGTAAAAGGGTGCTTGACTGATACTGCATACTTTTCTTTCATCATGCTTATTTGCAGTGTTAATTCTAGTTTTTGTTATTCACAGAAATAAAAAGTTGAATGCTTTATCACTGGGGTGAACTACTGTGTCACTAGATTGCTCTCTCAAACTTTGTGCCTGAGTTTAGGTGACCCTTATTATCCAAGACAGGCAATTTTTAAGGATTCTCCACAGCATGTTACAATAATCTTTCTATTAAAAAAGAAACTAGGTTCGTAACACTGAGTCTAAAAAAATGTTTCAGATTAAAATCTCAAGCCTAGATTGGTTTTTGCATTCTTTTTTTAAATGGCTCCTCTATCCATTAGTGTATGTAAGAGCTGACTGAGTATTCTATATGTTGTTTGTGGGTTTTGACGGGAATTACATTTATATTCCAGAACATGGAGAGTTCTTAAAAAAATTTTTTCTGGGTACATAGATGGTGTATATATTTCTGGGTTACATGAAATATTTTGATACGGGCATGCAATGCATAGTAATCATATCAGGGTAAATGGGGTATCCATCACTTTGAGCATTTATCCTTTGTGTTACAATCCAGTTATACGCTTTGAGTTATTTTTAAATGTCAGATTGTTTAGAGTTTTTAAAAAAATGCAGCTACATGAGGGGTCTTAGATTTACTAAATCATTTTCCCTGGATATAGACATAAGTTTCTAATTTTTCTAGGTGATTCTGAAGCTCTTCTTTGATTAAGAACCACAGATACAGGGGGAGTAAAGGTCCTAAACTGCATTAGATAGAGTATTCTAGTCCCAGGGAATAAATGAAAAGGATGGTCCTTACTTAGGGTAATTCTGCGTTCAGTGGTGAAAACAAACATGTAAACACATGAATATTTGTTTGTCACTTTGTACATTTACCTTTCAAGAATGTTAGATCTAGTAGGAGAGGTATTTATTTAAAAGAAATTTTTTTTTTTTTTTTTTGAGACTGAGTCTTATTCTATCACCCAGGCTGGAGTGGGAGTGCAGTGTGGCGCTCTCTTGGCTCACTGCAACCTCTGCCTTTGTGATTCTCCTACCGCAGCCTCCTGAGTAGCCGGAATTACAGGCTCATGCCACCATACCCAGCTAATTTTTG